CTGCAACTCCTTGTTATGACTCTTCGAGTCGAGGAATCAGTTACTGAAACGTTTCCCTCAGGAGATTCCGCTATATCCACCGGACAAGACATCTCAAGAGGAAAAATTCTTTGAACTGGTCGAACCAGCTCTCCGGTAGAGGCTTTAAGACGAGCTACTCTGATGTGCCCATCTTTTCCTACGTAGGTTTCCGTCACTCTTCCCATTGGCCAGAGAACCTTCTTTTCACCTTCAGTTTCAATTGGGACGATATCTCCCACAGCTATTCGTTGATTACCTTTAACCTTGGACGGACGCATTACTAATTTTCAAGGTATTCGTCCCTAAATTGCTTTCTTAAAGCTTCCCTTAGATTTTATTTATAACGAAATATTCTCTTTAGGTTTACTCTGTCGATATTATCCAGGTCTGGAACACCCACCTCTATTAACTCACCTAAGAACAATGCAGGTGTCAATGGAATCAGGTCATAGGAATCTTCGGAAACATACGTTAGGGATTTTGAGTTTACAGTACCTTCACAACCAATAAGAACACTTTGTAGTTCTTCGTGATTCAATGAAGATCTACCTAAAACTTTTCTCAAAAGGGTCTTGATCAGCTTCACCATGATTTCCCCAAACCCTCCCCACCATAGAGCAGCAGGGGGACTGAAGTACCACTGAATTCAATTTATTGAAGATTCTATCTCGATAGCGTTCCTATCTATAGATTTGAATAGGTTGTCGGCTCCCACGAAGTTTGTTCCATTGTCACTATAGATGACCTTTGGTCTTCCCCTTCGGTAAAGAATCTTCGAAGAGCCAAGAAAAAAACCATATGTGGAAAGTGACTGTATCAGTTCTAGATGGATGGCGCGGTACACAGCACATGTGAAGAGGATGACCCACGCTTTCGATAGGTTATTAAAAATTAGGGGGCCACATAGGTCGACTCCCCTGATTTCAAAAGGAGACGCATATCTGACTCTATTTTCTGGTAAGACCACAGGAACAGTTTGTATTGGTCTGGCTTCGTGTCTCTTGCACCTTATACTTCAGTTCAGTACATTTCTAATTGCGTTTTTGCTCTTGATTATCCAAAGCGTTTCTCTTAATTTAGACATCAATGCATTTAAACCAGCATGGCACATTTTCAGATGCAAATCCAAAATTATGCAGTCAACAAGATCATGCTTGCTAGGTAGTAGAATAGGAGATATAAAATCAGCATCGTCTTTCCTTTCTGTCAACTTGATTTTGACGCGTAGTAGGCCTTCCTCATCTTTAAACACAGATATTGTTTTGAGCCTGTCAATGTCTCCTGGGGCAAAAACCACTTGCTGAACTAGTTTTGCCTACCTTTTTTCGGCTATCACCAATTCAGACACTTTCAGTTCACCAGTTTTTCTCTCTTCTTTCTTGAGCTGTGAATTGCTTGTGAATCCACGCTATCATTCGTAGAATCTTCGAATATATAGAAAAGTAGGAGAAAATCCATGAAAGATCTGCATTAATGCCGCAAGTTGAGACTGTTAAATATTGCCGTTGGTCAGATATTATTTCTTCTCTGTCGAAGTTAGGATTCAATTGAGACCCGTCTTCTATAGTCAATTGGTTGCAATTGGTCAGAAAACCACCAGACTTTGACCGTTCTTTTACGATTTCCTCATCACTGTGGACATCAATCTCTGTGGTAATATTCCAAGTTGAGATAGGTTCTTTCAACCAGGCTGGACCCTCCCACCATTTCATAACTTTCCAGAGGACGTTTTAGAAGAACATCCTCTGAAAGGAAGGTCTGCCGGGTTCAATTTTCCTGCAACATGGCGCCAGGAGGAGAAGTCGCTCAATTTTCTTATTTCATCTATGCGATTCCTAACGAAAACTGAGCAATTTTCTGCTTTGGTTATCCAAGCGAGAACTGTTGTGGAATCGCTCCAAAAATATTTCTTGATATTCTTCCAGTCGAGAGCTTGTACAACTAATTGTGAGAGTCTAGCTCCCATCAAGGCAGCAGTTAACTCCAGCCTTGGTACTCTTCTTTGAGTGACGTAATACGAGACTTCGCCTACACAAAACTGATTTTAACGCCATTTTTTTCTTCAATCCTTAAGAAAACCACAGCTGAATTAGCCTCTTTACCGGCATCGCAAAATGTATGTAAGGAACACTTCTCTAGACATTCTGAATTAACTTTAATCCACCTGGGCATCTCAATTTCTTCCAATATTTTCAATTCTGCATACCACTGAAGAAACTCTTTTTTCAGATCTTCTCTAATCTCTTCATCCCAAGCAACACCCATCACCCATGCCTTTTGTAGTATTAACTTTGGGCACAGCATGACTGGAGTGGTAAACCCAATGGGATCGAAAATGTGATGAGCGATAGACAGAATAGATCGTTTAATGACTTTTTCCATATTAATTTCTTTTAACCAACTCATATTTACCTTGAGGGTGTCTTCAACTTTATTCAATTTTAAACCTAATATAGTTGATTCTGTGAGCGAGTCTTTGCAATGAGAGTTTTCCCAACTTCTCAACTCAAAATTCCCTTTTTTCATCAATTCAATAGATTTTTGCTTAAAGTCTTCCATTTCAAATGGAGTATTTACACTAGTTAAAGAATTGTCGACATAGAAACTCTGCAACAGCCTTTTCTTGAAATCTTCATCGTTATCATGATCATTTCGTATATGATACCTGATGACATATGCCAAAAGAAAAGGACTACTCGTAACTCCGAAGACAACTCTTGCATGTCGAAATATTTTACACTTTTTGTCCTCCTCATTTTGCCACCATAAGAACCTTAAAAAATCTCTATCTTCTTTGGTGACACTTAATTGTGGAAACACTCTTCTCACATCTGAAGAAATACCAATACTTCTTTCTCTAAAACGCAATAAGACATACGGGATAAGTTCGATTAAGTTGGGACGGCTGTGTAAACAGTCGTTAAGGAAGTGTGTTCTTTCATACATGCAGAAGCATTGAATACCGGCCTTATTGGGGTGGTGCTGCTTTCTTTTATTACAGCTCTATGTGGCAAGTAATTTCCTGGTAAGTCAGTTTCATTAGAACAGGGATTCTTAACCTGTGGTTCATGAACCCCTAAGGGGTCCATGAGTTATATTTTGGGGGTCCGCTGACTACTCCTAATTTTTAAAACGTTTGGAAGCCTACCCATTGCTTGTAAAGCGAGCTATGGCAGCTATAATTCCGTTTGCTACAGTGTATCTTTGCAGAGAGGGATTTTCCACACTTGTGACAATAGAAACATAATATCCAAATCGATTGAATGTTGAACATGATAGGCACGTTGCTTTGTCGAAAACCATCACCTAATTCAATTTATTAATTAAGGTAAAGGAAAAGCAGCAGCAACCTTCACATTAAAAATTTTAATTTTAAAAATTTTGTATACTATTAAAATAATAAAATTAAATGTTCTCTAATAATTGATGTTTTTTACAATTATTTTTTTCACAGGGGGGTGGTCCGTGACTTCTTAAGTCCGTGAAGACCTTTTCATAATCATCATAAATATTCTTCGATTTCAATTGAACTGTGGTCCGCTCTAATCTCCTCTTTGTCAAGTTAAAGTCATTGGATAAGAAAGATTCGTTTTCCTGCCATGGTAAACGGACTTCGTACCTTCCTTGATCATTGACCTTTACCGTCTTTAGAAAATGTTCCTGTGCTTCAAAATCAGTTTCCCTTTTCAATTTCTTCTCAATGGGATCTTTGATTCCTATTAAATCTAATCTCCACAAATCGGCCATCTCAGCTTCTTTTACGAAAAGTGATATCACTGACATGGCGATACTTTCGGTACCAGGCTTATGATGAGGTACCTTTCCCATTAAGGTCCATCCAATATTTGTTTCGGTTGCAACCATGCCATTTGTCAAAAACTTTTGCTGTCCAGTCAATAACTTGCCTATCATGTCTGCTCCTACGAGTATTTGTACTTGTTCATAAGTCTGGCTAACATCATTTAAACAAATTTTTACACTCTTAAGTTCCTTCAGCCATGGACCTCTGTTTACAAGTAATATCTTCTCACAAATAACATCTTGGCCCAATACCTCCAAATTGCTAGAGAATTTTCCTTTCAGCGATGTAACTCTTATTTCACATTTCCTGTGTTTTCTAACATCAGTAGTTACACCTCCAAAGAAGGAATGAGTCACATTCCTTTCTTCTAAAGGAGGATACATCATCTTCTGGGCAACGGTATTAAGGAAGTGGGATCTCTGCGATCCTGTATCAATTAGCAGACGAACATTCACTTCTTCACCATTGGCGACAAGCTTGGCGACCAAAGTCTGCAGAAAAACTTCTGGCGTCTGATTTAAATTCGCCATATTGAGCTCATTTACTGATGTTTCTGTCTACACCTTTTCTCCCTCTTTCGAAGCTGATTTTCTCATTTGTTCCAGGTTTTCACACATGAGTGTCACATGTTTTCGACCACAAATCAGGCATTTTACGAAACTCCTGCAGTGACTAAGCTATGTGACCGGGAGCCAAACACGCAAAAAACCACGTTTTTGCTTCTTACAATTTCCTGCCTCTCAACTAAAGGTTTTTTCTGGTGGGGGAAACAGTCGAAACTATTATGTTTGCCATCACAAAATAGGCAACCTCTTCTTTGTTCTTTTACGTAAGAAGCTGCGTGTAAAACAACGGCTGTTGATGGTACTCGAGATTTTTCTTTTTCAACTCAACAATGATCAACTTTTTTCTTTTTAGCTACCTTGTTATCTTCAACTTTGAGCAGGCCAAAATCATCCATAGCTAAATTAATTCGGGCTTCACCCTCCACTTCTGCCTTTAAAAACACCATCAGTTTGTTTAGACTTTCTTTGGCTTCTAATTTTGGAGTTAAAGAATTACTCCGATGGTAGGCCTTCAAAAATTCTTCCGGAAAACAGGATTCTACCATCGGATAGAGAATAGATGCACACTTGTCTGTAGTAACCCCGAGAGTGTCTAAGGCTCTTAAATATGTTTACAGCTTATCATATAAGGAGGTAAGTGGAAAAGATCTATTCACCTGAACATTAATAATTAATTTGAGAAGTTCCCTTACGTATATCTCCACTAAAAGATCCTCGTTTCCAAATCTCGATTTCAGACTATCGACGGCTTTAGTATAATTTTCCCCAGTTGGCGGGAAACTTTCTACAATCTCTCTCGCTCTGGAACCCATCACAGTAGCTTGTATCAGATATTGGAATTTGTCTTCAAGGGCAATATCAGCATCATTATCTATGTGCTGAAATTGACTCCAAAACGGAAGCCATTCCTTGACATCGTCGCCAAACTGCCTGAACCCCAGCTTTGGTAACGTAAACTTTCTCCTAGTATTAACAGCTTCGGTATTAATTGAACTTGAATTTGCGACATTTTGAATTGTCGATTCTCGATCTTGCGCCTGTAATCGGGCCATTTCCAATTCATGAGCCATTCGAGCCTTTTCCAATTCCATGGCTTCTTTCTCCTGTTCTTGTATCTTTCTCTCTTTAACAGTATCCTCAAATACCTGTTTTACGAATTCTGGATCCTTTTTATATTCATCGCTAGCCAAAATCAAGTCATTTAATTTTGCTAAAGTCGCTCCAACCGGCACTGTTTCTTCCAATTTCTTCTAGAACCACTAACAAATCTGCTTTCTTAAATCCGCTTTTGAAGAAGCTTGTAATTTTTTTTATCTGCTGTGATCCCTGTTCGAGTGCCAAACGAAGTACTTTGTACAACTAAATAAGATTCTTTTCACAACACTTAAATATTTACTTTATTTTTTTCATATATAGAGAGAACAGTCGGAAAAGAATTCTGTTAAGTTAAAAAACATTTCGCTAAAAAAATGAGCGAATTCTAAAAGAAATAAAAATAAACAACTTAAAAAATAAAAATGCTGTTGCCAGCCATAGAATTTTTTGAAAATTAACTTAGCAACATAAATCAAAATGACATACAAGTGCAGCTAGTTCAAAATTATGATACCTGAGCGCTTGACGTAACAACGAAATTATTGAGTAGGTTCCTTAGAGCAATACCATTCTTATCCTCTTATGACTAAATATAGGAAAAATTAGTATTCAAAGTTTCTGTAAAAAGTATGTAAAGCTTCTCGCTACGTACTTTTTTTTTTCTTTATCAAAATAAGTTTGAAAATTGCATATTTTTTATTACATTTTTCAAATCAGATGATGATTCTAAAATTGGCCCGCCTTTAGAATCTTTTTACAAATTTCAAGTTTTAGTATTTGCTGTTTAACGAAATAAGGCATTTGCAAATTGTGCTATAATGATATCTTGTGCTAAAAGTTGAATAGTAAAAGTTGTAAATTGTGCTAAAGTTGAAAAATAATTTTAACAAAAGTAAATTCGTTTCAACATTTTTTTAAAAAAAGAGCAGCTTTCCTAAGTATGACGGTGGAATATATATAAGCTTAAACGTCAAAATAAAATTGCGGTTTGAATTTGTTCATTAAAAAAAGAAGCAAACAGTTGTGGATTTTTGAGTTGCACTAATATGTTTTTACTTTTCACAAACCAAACAAATAAGAAACAAAATAAAGTAAATCAATAAATAATTTGTTTGTTCAATCTTAATGAAATGGGTGCACTTATTTACTACGATCAGTCAGACGTTTTGTACTGAATAATTTGAACATAGATAATGTTCTTAAAATCTTATGAGCTAAGTGGCTATAGCTTTGAGACTCAAAAAAAAAATTAGCAATTACTTAAAACGAGTGTTAATCTAAAGAAAAATTTCAAGTACCAATAAAAATTAAGCAAAATAGTTTAGTATATTAGCGGAAAATATCTACGTGGTAGCATAAAGAAAGAATTAAAAATATAATGAAATGAATAGTTGAATAGTTCTGACACATACCTCGGTAATTAAAAATTTAATTTCACAATTAAGATGTTAGGACAACATACTGAGAAATTTTTAGGGGCTTCTGACTACTTATGCGACAACTCTTTATGTTAAGTATCTTTATACTCCTAAGTGAATAAAGAAACTGTTTTAGGTACGCTTCTGACTACTTATGCGACAACTCTTTATGTTAGGTATACTCCTAAGTGAATAACGAAACTATTTTAGGTACGCTTCTGACTACTTATGCGACAACTCTTTATGCTTGGTATCTTTATATTCCTAAGTGAATAAAGAAACTATTTTAGATACGCTTCTGACTACTTATGCGACAACTGTTTATGCTTGGTATCTTTATACTCCTAAGTGAATAAAGAAACTGCTTTAGGTACGCTTTTGACTACTTATGCGACAACTCTTTATGTTTGGTATCTTTATACTCCTAAGTGAATAAAGAAACTATTTTAGGTAATCACAAGAAACAATAAAAAAAGTCAATTAATAATTCTGAAAAAACGTACTATGCTTCATAAACATCCTAGTATTAANTTATGTTAGGTATCTTTATACTCCTAAGTGAATAAAGAAACTATTTTAGATACGCTTCTGACTACTTATGCGACAACTCTTTATGTTTGGTATCTTTATACTCCTACGTGAATAAAGAAACTGTTTTAGGTACGCTTCTGACTACTTATGCGACAACTCTTTATGTTAGGTATCTTTATACTCCTAAGTGAATATAGAAACTATTTTAGGTACGCTTCTGACTACTTATGCGACAACTCTTTATGTTAGATATCTTTATACTCTTAAGTGAATAAAGAAGCTATTTTAGGTAATCACAAGAAACAATAAAAAAAGTCAATTAATAATTCTGAAAAAACGTACTATGCTTCATAAACAGTCGGCTGTTTTGCATCGAATAATTTTAAACAACAGAATTTTAGCAAGAATTTTAACAGAATTTTAACAAGATTTTATTCTCACCTATCAGGCGATAAGTTTTCTTTTAATAAAAATATGATAAGAATTTAAAAAAGAATTTTACTTGAAAGGAAGAACTAAATTAAAATACTAAAAAAAAATTGATCAGTATATTAATGAAGAAATAATATGCGTGTTAGCGTAAAGATTAAAATTTTTAAAAATTTAAAGTTAAATTATATGGTTTGTAAAATAGTTCTGTGAAACACGCACGTAATTAAAAAATTTATTTTGAGATTAAGACGATATATATTGTTGAGAAATTTGAAAATGCATAAAAATGTCGTATCCGTATTATTATTTTAGAATATTGAAATTGACAAATATATTATTGCATATCTATGCATACGTGCGTATATTTTTGAAATTGTATCAATTATTGAAAAAACAAACTAAAAAATAAAATATAATCACAATACCTGTAAATATAATCACAATCTGATGTACAATCATATTCTATCAGAAACATGCTTTTATAAAACTCGGCATTCGTTGAATAAAATGTTTTTAATTCAATAAAATGTTTTATTCAAACTTCTTTTACTAAACTACGAATAAATTTTTGGACGACAAGAAAAGAAGCATCATATCTTAAAAGTAAAAAAAAAAAAGTAGCAATTGGGTTTTAGCGAAAAAATTATGAATGAAATTTTACACTACGCTCACGTAAGTCAAGTTTCTCGTAAGAAGACCATATTTAATGTTAATTGCTCATTTAAATATTTCTTCATTGTTGCCAATTTATTTTTTAAAAATGATTGATTTTAATTTTTCTAGGCTTCTACTAAATAAAAACAGTTGAAACCTTAAATTTCTTAATGGAAAATATGCAGATTAATATGATATAAAAAAAATTCATACCTCAAAATTCAAAATTTTTTTCATCCTCAATTAAATTAAATAATAAAAAATAATAAATAATTATAAAAAAATATTTTTTGCATGAAATTATCGTTGGGTAAATATGTTTCATGAGAATATTTTTTAAATTACTTAATTAGCTTTAAAAATATAACTAAAAACGCAAAAAGTGACATTAACATTAATGGGTTCGAATAAATCATTAACTAACAATCGTTACTCCTCGTAATAACATCGGATTAACATTAAAAAAAAAGAATGAAAAAAATTATGATGGAATCGAGTGTGTGAAATACAAAATTCGCTGTGGTATTAAAAATATTGGAAGAGGCGGCCTCAGAGAAAGCTATTGGAAACAATGTATGCCAGGAAAACCACCTTGAATAACTTTTGATCCAATGATCGGACGTTCCAGGCTATCAATGGCTTGAAGGGATGACTTCAAATATGCTAATTAATGAGTGCAGACGATATTTTAAGTTACGAAATCAGACACAAAAACGTACTTTCTCTGAATAAACATACCCTTTTTTAGTTTGTACCCCTTAATGTCAATTTTTCTTCTTGCATATTTCACCATATCACGAAAACCTTGAAGCGAATTGAAAAATTTTTGCACAGAATTATAAAATACGTTTATTCTAAGATAATTCAATGCAAAAATAAATTTTAGTAAATATTTATCATTTTATAATAATGGTCGAAAAATTTTGAATCGTAAGGTATAGAATTGCATCATTTTAAAAACATAATTTAACAAGGCAAAATACAAAATTTTGAGCAAAATCGGTTAAAAAGTTCCTAAGAAATCGAATTTTAAATATTTGACATTTTTGAAATTCAATTCTGTCCTAGAACGTATAGATCCAATCATTAGATCAAAGGATATTCAGTGTGGTCCATTTTTTACTTATTTATTTATTTGTTCATTGTATATTTGCTAGAATTAATCAAATTCTTTTTAATTAGATTAATGCTTAATCAGTATCCAATAGGGAGGAAATTTTTCATCTTAAGGTCAAATAGGCATCCAGCAGTTAGGAATAAAACCTGCATTAATGATATTATTAAGATTTTTTTTAATGATGGTATATAATGTTCAACTTGAATAAGGGATTTTATTTATCAAATATTATTGGCATATTTTTTGTCTAATTATTTAAAATGATACAATTTAAATTTAAATACAATTTTAATATTTTATTTCTGCAAAAACATTGTTCAGTTATACATTTTTGTTACATATTTTCTATTTAATAATGATTTTCCAGCTCTGTTAAATATCAATTTATATGCTCAAATCTGCTTGAAACTGTAATTGAGCTCTCAATATAAAACTTTTTCCGAAAACAAAATTAATTTGTTTCAATGCGGTTTCGTTGCTGCTTTCGACCTGTAAATGTTTCTGGTCCCGAAGTGGACTGATCGTAAAGAAACGGTTCTCAGTAGAACATCGAAGTCAAACATCACTAGCTGCGATGAGTAAGCGAGTGGGTGACCACTTTGATCAGCCTGCGTAGGGACCAAGGGTGCGCTGTATTGATCCTCGTTAAACTGTTCTACCGTGAAGTGCACGACTTCACGCGCAGGCCATCGGGCTACCGAAGCAGGGGAGCCATCCCCTCTGCAGAGGATTAAAATTTACATGGCATGTCTTCGGATCATCCTCAAGGATGTCTTCCTGACAGGCGCCAATAGCCCATTGCCCAGCTCTAGTGCGACATAAAAATAAAAGTACGAAGTAAATGTTTCTGAGCTCTCATACTAAGAGATTTATACTTTTTTTATCCATTGCTTTCTTGCTAATGTAGGTATTACGTTACACATTTTCATATCTACTCTTTTTGTAGCAGACATATTTTATGAAATTTTTTTTTGAGAAATTATAATATATATCATTTTAAACAATTATTTTCAATATAGCATTCTTGTTTCAATTTTTATTTCTAACGGCATAGGAAGATGCCAGAAGTATTACTCATTTAACGTTACCCAGTGGGCACCTGTGAACCTAAGTCACAGAGGAGAGCAACATTACCCACGCCACACTGTCACAGATACCTGTTTATAGGGTGTGCCACATTCACACAATAGAGAGCAACACACAGGGAAAAACCATACCCTGAGCGGGATTCGAACCCGCAGCCATTGGCTTCGCAGTCAGACATGCTAACCGCTCGACCATCTGGTCGGCATTGTTTCACTAATAACTATGGTAATAGTAGCAGACACAACAGGACTTACCAGTTCCACAATCTGATCAATTAACTACAATTGGGAGCAAAATAGACGAACTATCCCAACAGATTCAAAAATTACGGAATACTACACCAACGTAGAGTGAAGTCCTTAAAAGACCTCCTCCACCTGCACCAATCATTTTACCAGCTAGCAAAGACTGCACAACAGATGACATTATGAAAACAATTACGACCAATGCGAATAAGCCAATAGTGAAGAAAATGTACAAAAATGATGAGATAGTGGAGATAAAATTCTACAGCAACAACGACAAAGACAAACTAACAGAATGTATAAAAATACTGAACTACCATATAAGGATAAAGTGAAGCGATTGAATTCACTCATTTTACTTAATGTACCAGCAACCCATAATGACGAGGAAATATTGAACAGAATCAAGCAAAGTTCTAAATATCACGATGATTTGGACGAAGTGAACATCATAAAATCAATCTCACACAAAACTGACGAAACCAAAAAACACGTTATCCTTTAAGTCTCGCATCCACTAGCTCTCCATCTACTTGACATAAACTATATATATATATATATTGGTTTCAACAAATGTTACATAAAGAAAAGTATAACCCTCTTACGCTGCAGACACTGTCAGCTCATAGGACATCACCAAGATAATTGTAAAAATGAAGTATCCTGTGAGACATGTGGAGAAAATCATCCCAAAGAAAAATGCACAAATGAAACACATTCGTGTATCAACTGTTTAGAATCAAACCAACGCTACAAAAAGAATCTCAACTACCATCATACCGCAGCGGATCCAGCGTGCCCGAGCTACCTAAGAGCACTGGACGATCTCAAGAAACAACAACAAGTTCATCAGCAGAAGATCTTCTCAAACCAGCATCTGAGGTACTAACTCAGACAATAAGACACTTTCCATCCAAAACAGACTTCGAAGTTAAAGCCCGCAGACTAAAAACTTTTATATATACGTTAAATTTTTATTTCATTTTTATTTATTTATTTTTTAATTTTATTCTTTATTAATTCATATTTTCCTTAACTTTCTTACTTTTTTACATTTCAAATATTTTATCTTTTCTTTTTCATTCTAAACTTTAATTTACTATTCTCTTTATTTAACTAACAGTAAAAAAAAACATATATTAATTTAATTCTTTATTCTTACAAAATAATAATTTACGATAATAATAATATAATTTATAATTTTTTAACATATATTTTTTTTCCTTCACTTCATCTTAACATCCTCTTATCAAGTCAAAATTTTCTTCTGGAGTGCTCAAAGGTAAGCTACTTTAAGCTATCTGTTCTTTGATGCATAATTCGTATCTTACTCAAATTAAAAATTTCACTATTTCAACAAACCTTGATAATTTAAAAATTTTACAAATTAATCTTCAGAGGAGTAAGTCAGCAATGGCTACACTACAAAAGACAGTTACTGAACACGACATTGACATAGTTTGCTTCCAAGAGCCATACTGTCCCAAAAATAAAATTCTCGGCTTCCCTTTATCTTGGAAAATTTTTCACTCAACTGACAAAAAAAGTGGTATCTTTATTCTCAATAAATCAGTAATACCCCTACAATTAATTTCATTGAATAATTCAGTAGCAATCTCAATAAATTCTTGCAACAACCCAGATCCACTAATCTTAATCTCATTTTATAATTCCCCTTCGGACAATGAAAATCAATTAATTAAAGATCTACTTTTTCACACCTCAAAATACTCTAACAACTCTACTCTTCTAATTTGCGGGGACTTTAATGCACATCACGACTTCTGGGGTTACGCTAACACTGATGCCAGGGGAGATGCACTGTTTGAACTTATTATTTCTAACAATCTAAAAATATTAAACACCCAAAACGCTCCACCAACGTTTGTTACTACTCGATCTTCCTCCTTTCCAGATTTAACGCTAACAAATAGTCAGGAGCTCCTCAACTATTCGAATTGGGAAGTTTTAGACACAGAAACAAACTCTGATCATAAATACATCAAAATCCAACTAAACAATTCTTTTTCTTTCTCATCCTTTATTAGATTTAAAACAAAATACGGTAATCATAACAAATTTAAGAAAAACTTTTCAAAATTTCATAATGAATTAAATAGTAATTTAGACAACATAAACACTCCATTACAACTAAACGATTTCACAGACGATTTAATCAATAAAATTTTTAATTCTTGTAAACTTTCGTATAAAACAAAAGCATTTAACAAGCAATCAAATCCCACATGGTGGAATAGTAAATTGTTGATACTCCAAAAAGAACTGCAAGCGACTAGGAAAAGATACCAACGTTCAAAAATAGAAGACGAAATTACCAAATACAAAATCATCTATAAACTTAAAAGAGCCCATTTTAAAAAAGAAATTCTCAAGGCTAAATATAATAGTTGGAAATTTTTATGTGAAAACACCAACAATACATTTGGAAAGCACTATAAAACATCTTTTAAGACAAATCCTCATCCCTCTATATTTATAGATATATTTAACACTAACTCACCTTTAGAAGAAGCGTCACATATTTTAGAGAATCTTTTCCGAGACAATAACATAATCCCAATAGATAATTTCCATTACCCAAATTCTAATCTTGACCCACCTTTTACATACAATGAATTTAATTAAAAATCTAAATAATAATAAAGCCCCTGGCATCGACGATATTGATAACATAATAGTCAAAAAGCTTTTTCTATTTTTTGGTGAACTAATTCTAAAATTTTTCAACAAATGTCTCTTACTCAAATGCTTTCCAGATCATTTTAAAAAAGGGCAAGTCTTGCTATTTTTGAAAACTAATAAAAATTCGAAACTATTATCATCATACAGACCAATTACACTACTCCCTTGTCTAGGCAAATTTCTAGAAAAACTTATTACCAAGAGAATAAGCTATTATATAGAATAATATAAAATTTTATGAGACAAACAATTCGGTTTTCGTTTCCGCAAATCTATAAATCATTTTCTAGATAATCTAAAACATCTCAAAAACAACTTTAAACACGTCGCAGCCTTTTCCCTTGATATTAAAAGCGCTTTTGATAATATACAATACAATTTAATTTATAAAGAAATTTCAACTTCAAATCTCCCTAAGAATTTATGTCACATAATAGAAGATATCAACAGAAATAGAATTGCTATTCTATCAACAAATCAAGGATTCAAAACAAAACATATACTCAAGGGTTGCCCACAGGGTTCATGCATAGGTCCGAGAGCTTGGAATTTTTTAATCAATAGCTTGCTCAATACAGATATGAACAATCAAATTATACAAGCATTTGCCGACGACATCATTCTATTAACGTTTGGAAATTCAAGAAGAGATTTAGAAATTAATACTAACAACACACTCAATATTATTCAAAATTGGCTAACAAGTAATAATCTCAATTTATCAATAGACAAATCTGTTTTCATCCATTTCTCCAACTCAAGCAGGGGTCCAATCTTCAAAATAAACAACCAAAAAATCTCACAAAAGAACCATTTCAGATATTTGGGAGTGATATTAGAGCCCTGGATATTAGATAGGAGTCTTAACTGGGGTCCACATGTTAAAGTCCTGAAAGAGAAATCAAACCAACTACTCACTTCGCTTTTTAAAATTAATACAAAACCCTGGGGCATAAACAAGAGAGCTCGTAAACTCATATATAAAACTGTTATAATCCCTCCCTTAGCCCATGGTTCATGTGCATGGGCGCAAAAAATCTCGCCTAGAATCTCAAGAACTTTAGACTCAGTCCAAAGGAAATTTCGTCTGAATATCACAAGAGCCTATCATTCCACTCCTACAGCTGCTCTACAAGTCTTAGCTGGATTCCCACCTCTCTCAGAACAGATTGCGTCGTTGTCGCGTTCAATAATCATAACTCAACTTAAAAAAGACATTTCCTATAACAATATAAATTATCAATACAGTACTTACGAGGAAAAACAAACAATAACTACTTTTCACCCCTCTCAGTCTATCACTAATTTAATCAGTTTAGAAGAAAACAAAAACTATAATCACTTAGATCCATACAATTTTTTTACAGACGGTTCGAAAACAAATACTGGAACTGGTTTTGCATTCTTCAACATAAATCATTCTAATCATTACACAATTAATAATAACAACTCAATCTTTCAAGCTGAACAACTTGCTATTTTAGAATGCATTAGATTCATCAAATCACAGACTTCATTTAAGGCATCTAAAAAATATACAATCTGGTCGGATTCTAAAGCAGTATTATACTCTATAATCAACCCAGGCACGAAAAATTCACTCTCGGCTAAAATACAAAAATTACTCCTTAATACAAATATATTTATCTCATGGATTAAAGCACATGATGACAGAACAGGTAATGAAAATGCAGATGCCCTATCTAAATTATCGACAACTAAACAACAAAATTACTCATATCCCTTTCCGATCTCACATCTTAAGAATCAACTTCAGAACTCTGTATTACAAATTTGGCAAAATTATTGGTACAATTCAGATAAGGGAAGAAGATTATATAAAATTATTAATAGAGTAGATTATTTTAAGACGATACCATCAAAATAAGAAATCTGGTTTCTAACTGGGCATGGTATTTTTCCATGTTATTTTAAATATCTAAACATCTCAGATAATGATCACTGCACGTGCGGCCTTCTGGGCACTCCAGAACACTATCTTACGGAATGCATCTATGCAGCTTCACGGCATACCCGTGCATCGAATATCACTAATCTACCAACTTGGCAAAAACAATTCATAACTAACACTTAAGATGCACTTAAAACCAAATTATTATTGGTAATGAATTTTCTTTCTGATAATGATAATATTCTAAAATTTTAAATATGAAAAAAAAAAAATATTCTATATTTTGGAATTCCTACCTATGTTGTAAATACTGTACATATATTTTCTATTTAACTTTTTATTTATTATTATAACATTTTAATTATTTTCTTTTGTTATTTAATACCTATAAATCAAAATTTTAATGGACAACTAAATATATATATATATATATATATATAGCAAAGCAAATAAATACAAAAAACACGAG